CGTTTTTTAATTCATGAAAATCTCTATAATATCTTTTATCTCTCAAAGCCTCAAGTTTTACAAAAGTGGATAAGTTTTTTCTTTATTTTATTATATTATCTAAAATTTTCAAGTTCGCCACAACGAAAGAAGAATTCTATATAATTATTATAATAATACATTCGTTTCTTTCTGTCAAAACAATTCACGGATATTTGAAAAAAAAGACGAGAAACATTTTTTTCTTTCAAAACAAAAATAGAGAAAAATACACGTAATAGCAATTTTACAATATTTATATTATAATATGGAATGCTCTCCAAAATTTTGTCCAGATTTTCAGCACACAAGCACCGATATTTAATTATTGAATTAAAGAAAATGAAAATCGCTACTATTTAAAGGAAAACACACACAATTTTTACTATTATAAACACGCGAATCAACTAGGTTTTTTTAACAACAGGCCCGGCACAAGTAAGTAGTTAACGCAGGGGCGTAACTATAGAAAAAGCGCCCCCACAGCATTTCGGACGTGTTTGACTCTTTACACAATGGAGAATTTCTGCGTATAGTAAAAAGAGTGGGGGGACGCTTCACCTAAAAGCTGCGTTTAACTACTAAATTGTCCAAAACTTGTTTTTTTATACATAAGATATGATAGACTACAATTAAAATAGTATTTTTAGAATAAAAAGTATAGTAAACAATCATAGAAAGGAGAAAATTAGCAAATAATTAAATTATTATTCACTTATTTATTTTCTTTTAATTTTTACGCTTTTAATTAAAAAAATAGAATTAAATTATAAAATAATTTTTCACAATGAGAAAAAAAAATTTTTTTTTTCTTTATAGCTGTGAAAATAATTCATATCTACTTAAACTTATTTATTTATATACTTAAAAAAAACAAAGAAAAATTTTTTCAACTCTATACTTGATCGTTATTTTTTTCAGTGTGAAATTAAGAGAAATAATTAAATTATTTAAATTAATTAAATTAACAAACAAAAAAATATACGTCAAATTATCAAAAACACTGAACCCCCCCCCCCCCCAAATTATTTTTCGGATAAAATTATTTTAAAAAAAATTATTATTCAAATAAAATAATTATTTAAAAAAAAGAAAATTATTACTTAAAATTATAAAAATAACCGAAATGATTATTTACAAAATTAAAATAATTAAAAATTGAAATACATTTTTTAATAACAATAGAAAAAATAAATTTTTTTGGTAATTAACTTTTTCTACAAATATTTTAGGATTAAAAAAAATATTTTTACTTTCAATTTTCTGTCAGAAAGAAAATTTATTTAAAATTCATTTTTTTTAAATTATTATTATTATTATTATTATTATTATTATAATTATCGAATTTTTATATTTATATATTAAAAGTTGATAAAAATTGTATAGTTATAAATTATAATAAAAGTATTTAATATTTGAAATAAATTTTATAAATAAATAATTTTTTTTTTTAAAAGACTGAATTCGAATAAAAAAAAAACGAAGTAATTAAATAGAGAAAATTAATAAAAACGAAGAAAAAATGGAAAAATACGAAAGAAAATAATAAAAATTTAAAAAGTCGTTTGTGGCTCAATTGACAAGAGCTCAGGAATTTGCAGGTGACTCTTTGGGGCTGAGGGTTCGAGTCCAGCCGGAGAAAAAATTTTTTAGTGGGGAAAATAATTGAAAAATCGAAAAATTAACTGGAAAATAGAAAAATTAATTGAAAATTAGAAAAAATAATTGAAAAATAGAAAAAATAATTGAAAAATAGCAAAAGCAATTTAAAAATAGAAAGAATAATTGAAAAAATAGCAAAAATAATTTAAAACCATCAAAAATAAATGAAAACTAACAAAAATAGTTTTAAAATAATTTTTAAAAAATAAAAAAATATGTAAAATAAAAAATAGGAAAATTCAAACAGCTTTTTGATAATTTGACGAAAAATAATTTTTTTCCTCTTTTTTAATTAAAAAAAAAAAAAATCCCAAACAAGAAAAATTACTTTCTTCTTCATTGGAAATTTCCTTGTGGTTTTTTTTACCTCAGTTTTTACAAACAAAAAATAACAAAAAAAGGAAAAAAAAGTCTCTTCATATCCGAAGCAGTGGCGCCTCGTTTCGGGGGGAGTGTCGTCACCATCTCGCAAAAAAGACAAAAGACAGAATACATAGACTATATATATATAAAGCCACAATTACAGTATATTTCACAAAATTGTTGAACATTCATACATAATTATTTTCGAGCTTTCGCATTCCATAGAAAGGCGTTTAATGTTCGATCAACGATATGAGACGTGACGCCATTTTTTTTTTTTTTTTGCTTTTTTCTTTCCTTCTTTTCCTTCTTTATAATTATTTTTATTTTCATTTTTTTGCTTTTTCGTTCACAAAGTGTAGATGAGGGAAAGATCTCAATTAAAAAAAAAATAATAAAAATAAAAATAATAAAAAAGAAAAAGTGCAGAAATGAAAAATTTTTTCGACATTAAAAAAAGGGGGGAAAGAAAATTATTAATTTGGAGATTTCAAATTTTTTGAGCAAAATAAACAAAAACTAAGAATTTTTTTCTGAAAAAAATGATTTTTTTTTACCAAAAAGTATTTTAGGTTTTTTTTTGAAAAAAATACTTTAATTATTTTTTTAAAGAAACTATTTGAATTATTTTTCTAAGAGAAACTATTTTCATTATTTTTCCAAAAAAAACTATTTTAATTAATTCTCCAAAAAAAACTATTATAATTATTTCTCCAAAAAAAAACGATTTTCATTATTTCTCAAACAAAAACTATTTTTAATTATTTTTCTAAAAAAAACTATTTTAATATTTCTCCAAAAAAAACTATTTTAATTATTTTTCTCTGAAAAATTGTTATTTAATTACTTCTTTTCTGAAAGAATTCTTAATTATTTTTTTTTCAAAAAGTTAAAAAATATTTTTCAAAAAAAATGGTTTTCATATTTAATTTCACTTTTTAATGAAACTATTTTTTCAAATTTTACTGAAAAAAGAAACTTTTTGTTTTTTTTTTACATTTTATTTAACAAATTTAAATTAAATTTCTTTTTTCAAAAAATAAAAACTAAATTTTTTTTCTAAAAAATGAAGACTAAATTCTTTTTTTTTAAATAAAAACTAAATTCTTCTTTAAAAAAATAAAAACTAAATTCTTTTCTTAAAAAATAAAAACTAAATTCTTTATTTAAAAAAATAAAAACAACTTTGGATTTTTTTAAGAAAAAATAAAAACTGCTTTGAATTCTTTTTCGAAAAAATAAAAATTGCTTTATATTTTTTTCGAAAAATAAAAACATTAAATTCCTTTTTTAACAAATCAAAATTGATTTAAATTCTTTTTTAATTTTACTCCAAAATTTTTTCTCCATTTTTCCAATTTTTCTCCCTTTTTTCGTCGAAAAAATTTTTTCTTTTTTTTTACTTTCAATTCTTATTTGAGAAAAACCATTTTCTTCTTTTTTGCTCTAAATTTTTGTTTCTAAAATTCATCTAAAATTATTTCAATTAAAAAAATTCTTTCACCGACAAAAAATAGTAAATTTTAAAATTCGGCAAAAAATAGTATTTCATTTACAAAAGCAAAATTTTTCTAAATATATTTTTTTTTATATAATTAATAAGAAAAAAAAGTAGAAGCAAAAAAAATTTCTCTCTTCCCTCTTTTTTCCTTCTTTCGTTTTTCCTACTTTCTTTCTTTCCTTCTTTTGTTTTTCCTACTTTCTTTCATTTTCTTTCTTTCTTTCTTTCTTTTCTTTTTATCTTTTCTACTTTCTTTCTTTGTTTTCTATTCATTCTCTCTCCACATTTTTCCCTCATTTCCACTACATTTTTTTTTCTTCTCCTTTTATTTCTTTATAATTGCAATAATGTACAATATGCAGCTAAATTATGCAATAATCAGCATGTCCAACACATTCAAACTTTTCAAAAACTGACAACATTGCGATTAATAATCATTTTTTATTTTCTTTCATTTTTTCCCATTTTTAAATTATTTTTCTCTTCCAAAGAATTTTTTTTCTTTCACTTATCACCATTTTTTAAAAAAAGAAAAACAAAACGAAACGAAAAGTGTTATCGCCTTGATGAAGAAAAACAGAAACTAGTTTTCAAAAAACTAATTCAAAAATAGTTTTAAAAACTAATTCAAAACTAATTTTAAAAAAAAAACTAAAAACTAGTTTTTAAAAAATCTAATTCAAAAATAGTTTTCTAAACTAATTGTAAACTAATTTTGAAAAAACTAAAAACTAGTTTTCAAAAAACTAAAAATTAGTTTTAAAAACTGAAAATTACTTTAAAGAAAACTAAAAATTAGGTTTAAAAAAACTAATTAAATTCAAGTTTTAGAAAACGAATTTAAAAATAGTTTTTAAAAAAACCAGTTTACAAAAAAAAACTAATCGACAAAAAACTAATTTAAAAAAAAGAAAAATTAAAATTCGTAATTGAGAGAAAAAAAGACAGTTTTTCATTACACATACTTTTTTTTTAATACAATAATTATTTTCTAGAGAAAAAAAAAATTTCTTTTCCCCTCCCCCCGAAGCTTTTTATTTATTCATTCTCTCTTTTCTCTCATTCATTCACTCTCTCATTCTCTCTCTCTCACTCGTGGTAATTCTCTGTGTAAAAAGTGTAACTATGACGCTAGTATAATAATAATAATAATAATAATATTAATAATAATAATTAATTAATTAATAATAATAATAATTAATAATAATAAGAAGTCTGCACGAGGCAATTTTATAGTCCAGTGTGTGAGCGATTTTTTATCTCGCAGTCACTCAATTGATTTTTTTTTTTTTTTTTTTAATATTTACCCCCCTCTTCTTCCATTTTACCACTCGTCCATTGTTGCTCTCTCGCCCTTTGCCCGAAATTCTATTTTATTTATTTTTTCACTAAAAAAATTCGTTTCTTTCATTCCATTTTTTTTTCATCAATAAAGTCGGTTAACTATTTTTTTTTCTTTTGCTGAAACATTGATCTCGTTCATTGATTCTCGTGTAAAAAAAAGTTTATCGCATTAAAACGTGTGCGAAAATCCTTCGTCTTTAGTTTTTTTTGTATAGTTTTATTAAATTTATCTTAAGTAATTAGTAGAAGGGCGCAGGGCGCGCGCGCGAATAGCGATCGTATTTTTTTTTTTTTATTTAGTTATTACTTCAATATTTTTTGATGATGATGAAGATGTTTTTTTGTTGATGGTATTTGTTTAAATATTTTATTTATTTTTGTTGTTGAATTCTTGTAGTAGTTGTTGTTTGTTGTTTAGTAAAGCAACTGAATGTTGTCGGAATAACGCCTCGATTAGCGATTGGCATTTTTCAATTGATTGGAAAGCCAATCGAGACCTTCGTAAAGGCCATCGCCGCTTGTCGCGCATGTCGCTTGTATATACCAATTGCGATTACGAAGCGAATGTAGACCCAATTTGTCAGTGATTTCTGCTGCATTCATTGCATTCGGCAAATCCTGAAAAAGGAGACAAAAATAAATTTTTTGTTTTTTTTATTTTTACTCCTAATTTTAGGTTTTTTAGTAATATTTTTTCCTTCAATTAATTGAAATGAATTAAAAAGTAATTAAAAATAAAAAGAGAACAAAAATTACAGAAAAAAGTATAAAGAAGAGGAAAAAAGAAGAAAAGTAATATTTTTATCTTCAATTAATGAAAATTCATAATAAAGAATAAAAAAATAATTAAAAAATAAAAAACGAGAACAAAAATTAAATAAAATACCTTCTCATGTGATGAGAATGTAAAAAATTGAAAAAAGAAGAAAATAAAATTTTGAAAAAAGGAAATTTTACCTGTTTGTTAGCAAATATAAGCAAAACAGCATCTCTCAGTTCATCCTCGGCTAACATTCTCATTAATTCCTCGCGAGCTTCTCCGATACGTTCTCTATCATTACTGTCCACTACAAATATCAGTCCCTAAAAAAGAGAAAATTATTTAGTATCAATATCAAAATCGAAATATTAATATTATAAATATTATAAATTTTGTGGGCAATATATATTTTTGTTGCATAAGTCTATAAGAAAAGAAGAGGAAAGAAACAGAATTTTTTTTTAAAATGGTGAAAAATATAAATAGAAAAAAGAGAATAAAGAAAGAAGTAAAATAAGAATAAGAATTGTAAGAAAAAAGAGAAAAGGTAAAGAAAAAAGGGAGAAATAAAAATGAATAAGGAGAAAACTTAAAAATTTAGAAAATAGTAAATGAAGTTTATCAAAATGGGAAGGAAAAAAGAGAAAGAATGAAGAAAAAAACTTTAGAAAAGAAGAAAAATTTTTAAAAGGAAAAAAGTAAAGAATTTTTTAAAAGAATAAGAAAAAAGGAAAGAAAAACAAGAAAAAAAGAAAGAAAAATGGAAGAAAATAAATAAAAAAAAAGGAGAAAAACTTAAAAATAGAATGAAATGAAGAAAAAAAGAAAGAAAAATAGGAAAAAAGGAAAAGAAAGAAAAATCTAGAAAAGGGTAAAAGTAAATGATTTTTAAAAAAAGGGAAGGAAAAAGAGAGAAAGAAAGAAAGAAGAATGAAAAAGAAAAAAAATTTAGAAAAGGAGAAAACTTGAAATAGGGAAAAAGTAAAGGAATTTTTAAAAAATAAAAAAAATGAAGAAAAAAATATAAAAGGAGAAAAACTTAAAAATCGAAAAATATAAATCAAATTTATAAATATGGAAAGTAAAAAAAGAGAAATAAAGAAAAAAAAGAAAAAAACTTTAAAAAAAAGAGAAAAACTTAAAAATTGGGAAAAAGTAAAAAAAGAAAAAACTATAGTTTTTTCTTTCTTTACTTTTCCCTTTTTTAAGTTTTTCTCTTTTTCATTTTTATAAAAAAAGAATTCTCTATTTTATAAAATAGAGAAAAACTAAAAGAAGAGAAAACTGAAAATAGTGAAAAATTTTTAAAAAGGGAAAATCTAAAAAAAGAAAAAATTAAAAAACGGAAAAACTAAATAAAAGGCAAAACTTAAAAAAAGAGTAACGGAAAGGTGAAAAACTAAATAAAGGAAAAACTGAAAGAAGGGAAACTCTAAAAAAAAAACTAAAATAGGGGAAAACTAAAAAAACGAAAAAAATTAAAAAAAAGGAAAATAGTGAAAAATTGAAAAAAGGGAAAATTAAAAAAAGGCAAAACCAAACAATGGAAAAAACTAAATAAAATGAAAAACTTTAAAAAAAAAGTGTAACGGGAAGGGGAAAAATTAAATAAGAGGAAAGACTAAAAATGAAAAGACTAAAAAATGGAAAAAACTAAATAAAAGGAAAAACTAAAAAAGGGAAAAACTCAGGAAAAAGAAAAACTTAAGAAAGTGTAAAATATAACAAAAGTTAACAAAGAAATAGAAAAAAAGATAATTACGAAAAAAGGGAATTCTTTTCAAAAATGAAAAAAGGGAAAAAAGATAAAAAAAAATTAAAAGAAAAAGAGTTTTAAAAAAACGAAATTAAAAATCCTTCAAGTCCAGAATAATTATATTAATAAATGGATGAAATTAAAAAAAATGAAGAAAAGGAGATAAAAGGAAATTAGTTTAAAAAAAGAAAAAAACAAGGGGAACAATTAAAAAGAAACGGGAGAGAATTTAAAACATAATAACAAAGAAATAAAAAGGAGGAAAAACATTTGAAAAAAGAGAAATAAAAAGGGAAATCTTTTATTGGAAGTAGAGAAAAGGGGAATAGTTGTAAAAAATAAAAAAAAAGGAGGAAAAACACTAAGAAAACGTGAAAACAGAAATTTTTGAAATAGAAAAGAAAAAAAAGAAAGAAAGGATTTAAGAAAAAAGGAAATTCAAAAATAGAAAAAAAAAAGGAAAACGGATATTAAAGAAGAAAATGTAAAGAAATTTAGAAATAAGAAAAAAGGAAAACGAATATTAAAGAAGAAAATGTAGAGAAATTTAAAAAAAAGGAGCCTAAAAAAATTGTAAAGAGAAACAATTTTAAAGGAAAGCGGAAAGCAAAAAGTGATACAAATAAAAAGAATTTTACAGAAGAAACTAATAGAAAAATTAAAAGAAAAAGAAAAAAAAAGTGAGTAAGAAAAATAAAGCAAAAAAATGTTAAATCAAAACAAGAAGTATGAGCAAAAAAGGAAGAAAAGAAAAATCAGTTTAAAATAAATTTTAAAAAAAGATTGAGATCTTAAAGAAGAAGGGAAGTGAAAGAAATTCAAAAAAAGAAAAGAAAAAAAAGGATAAATAACTTGCGATGTCTCATTCTTGTAATAATTGATCATTTTCTTTTTGCATTTTTCTCGAAAGCTATTCAATTTCGGTCGAAAAAAAATAGAGTCTCACCTGTGTATTTTGGAAATAATGTCGCCAAAGTGGCCTGATTTTATCCTGACCACCAACGTCCCAAACCGTGAAACTAATATTTTTATACTCAACTGTCTCTACATTGAAACCTGTGAAGAGAAACGAAAAAAATGCGTTAGAAGACAAAAATCCATTTCTGTTTTTTCAAATTCAATTATAATTTGAAAATTAAATTCTGCTTTTCTTTCTTAAATTTAATTTAATTTGAAAATTCAATTCTGCTAGTTTCTTTCTATAGATTGAATTATAATTTGAAATTTCATTTTTTTCCCTGTACATTCAATTATAATTTGAAATTTCATTTTTTTTCTCTGTAAATTCAATTATAATTTGAAAATTCAATTCCAGCTTTTCATTCTATAAATTCAATTCTTCTTTCCTTCAAAATTGAAAATTAAATTTTATTTTTCATTTTAATTACTTTTTAATAATTTTTTTAAGCAAATATTTTTGACTATTAAATTGAATTTAATTTGAAAATGAAGTAAAATTTGTTTCTAATAATTTGAAAATTAATTTTTTTCCCTGTAAATTCAATTATAATTTGAAAATTTAATTCTGCTTTTCTTTCTATAAATTCAATTCTTCTTTCTTTTAAAAATTGAATTAAATTTTATTTTTCATTTTAATTACTTTTTAATAATTTTTTGAAACAAATATTTTTGACTATTAAATTGAATTTAATTTGAAAATATGAAGTAAAATTTGTTTTCAAAATTCGATTCACTCACCTATAGTTGGGATAGTCGTGACTATTTCGCCTAATTTTAATTTGTACAAAATTGTCGTTTTACCAGCTGCATCGAGTCCTACCATTAAAATCCTCATCTCCTTTTTACCGAAGAGGCCTTTGAACAACGACGTGAACACATTCCCCATTTTTGGTGGCCGTTTATGTAAACACCTGCAAAATTCAAACAAAATCAATTAAACTTCATAGATTAAATTTCAAACAAAATAAATTATCACACTTCATTCAAAATAAACTATTATTAATTAAATGAAAACTTTTTTGCTTTTTTAAATACTTTTTAATAGAGTAAATATAATCGAAAATTTTAAATACTTTTAAATATAATAAATAATTTAAAATTTAAAACACGAATTAATAGAGTAAATGATTTAATATTTTAAATTACTTTTTAATATTTTTACTTTAATTATTTTTTACATTTTTTTAAACAAATATTTTTGATTATTTGAATATTTTTCTAAAAATATTTTTGACTATTTGAACAATTTGTAAAAATATTTTTCACCATTTGAACGTTTTTAAAAAAGTATTTTTTAATTTTCTTTTGAGTAGTTTTTACAATTGGAAAATTTTTTTCTTGAATATTCTTGAAATAGTTTAATATTTTTATTCTTTTACATTTTAAAATATTTTAATATTTTTATTCTTGAACATTTTAAACTATTTTAATATTTATATTCTTGAACATTTTAAACTATTCTAATATTTTTTTCTTGAACATTTTGAAATATTTTAATATTTTTATTCTTGAACATTTAAAACTATTTTAATATTTTTATTATTGAACATTTTGAAATATTTTAATATTTTTTTTCGTAAATATTCTAAAATAGTTTTTATATTTTTTTCTTGAACATTTTAAACTATTTTAATATTTTTTCCTAAATATTTTGAAATATGTGACGCGATCTGAAGAAAGGGACCTTAGAAGCAAAAAATTATAGGTTATGTTTGCAATTTTTTAAATGAAAATACAAAAAAAGGATCAACTGTCAATATAAATCATTAAAGTTTAAGTCTTCATTAAAACTAAAATATTTAATAAACACTGATTTTAATTCGAAATAAGTAAAAAGAAACTTTCAAACAAGAAAAAAGTAACTCTAACCCAACCTTAAAATGATTTGCTTCTAAGGTCCCTTTCTTCAGATCGCGTCACATATATATTTTAATAATTTTTTTTTTTAAATATTCTAAAACAGTTTTAATAATTTAATTACTTTTTCTCTCGTTACATTATTTTTCCATCAAAAACCAATTCATTTCCCAACCAATTAAAAATATTTCCTCTCTACTTAATTAAAAATATTAAAAAATTTCATTTTCTACTAATCGATTCAAAATAGGTCGACTTTTTTTTCATTAATCAATATTCAAAATGCCTGGAACTTTGTTTTTTTATTAATCAATTTTAAAAAAGTATATTAATTATTAAATTTGAATTTTTAATTAATTATTAAATTCAATTTAAATAATTATCTACTTTCAATTAGAATTTAAAAATTTACATACAATTAAAATTCTTATTCTTTTTTTTTATAAGTACCACTTTTTATTTTTAATTTTTTTTTGAATATGAAAAGAATAAAAAGCGGTGATTTACGATGTTAGTTAATTTCGCCCATTGGAAAAATAAGATAATCAACTGTTGTATCGATTGAGTTCTGGAAATACATTTATTACGAAACCGCATACATTAAAACTGATAGTCTCTTTATAAATGATTTTTTTTTATTTTTATTTTTATTGTTAAAGGTAAAAACATAAAAATTTCTTTTTCATTTTTTTAAGTCCAAATTTTACAATTTTTTCCATTTTTACAGAAATTGACATTTTTGACAAAGAAATATAATTATTTTAATTTTTATTTATATTATTATTATATTGACAATTTTATTTATAATTATTATATGATTTTTATTAATATTATTATTCGTAAATATTACTATTAAATTTTTATAGTTTTACCTTACAAATATTATTATTATTATTTGTTTATTATTATTGACAATTATTATTAATTATTATTGTAATTTTTATTATTAGGAATATTAACATTTTTATTATTGTTGAAAATTACTATCATTATTTTTTTTTATTATTATTAATCATTATTTTTATTTGAATTTACTTATTTACATCTTTTATTTCAATTTACTTATTTATTTATTTAATTACATTAGTTCAATAATAATTATTTATTTCCTTTAATTACCAATAATTATTATTTTTAAACTAAATTAATAATTTTTATTATTTTTATAATTAATTAATAATTTTTATTATTTTTATAATTGTTCAAAATTGTTATGAAAATTTCCCCCAAAATGTTTAATTACAACAAATTAAATGAATAATTTATTCTTCAACTTTTATAAAAATCCAAAAATAAATTAAAAATTTTTTTTTCTCTAAATTAACAAAATTTTTTCATTATTCTTACATTTGAACGTCTAATTTTTATTTACTATACTTATTTTCTTATTAAAGATAAGATTGAAAATTGGGTCAAACAGTTTTGTCAATAACAATAATAATATTGATAATAAAGCAACAGTAATAGTTGCATTATTTATTAGGAAATTAATAACAATAACAATAAATTACCAACATAAATAAAATCAATAAATAGCGAAGAAAAAAAATAATCAAGCAAATAATTCAAATTATTACTGCCATTAATTTATTATTTATAGTTTTTATTTTTTTTTTTATTTATTTATTTTCTTTATTAGTTTGTAATAATTTTTTAATTTGCATTTTTTTTAGTTTAATAATATTTATATTTTATTAAAAAAGTAAACAATTTAATATTTATTAATTAATATTTTTTATTAATTAAACTAAATAAAATAATTATTGAAAGCAATTAATTAAATTATTAAAGGAATAATTATTATTTTAATGAAAGTAAATAATTATTGCAAGTAACTAATTATTTACTGAAAGTAAATAATTATTCGAAGCAATTAATTAAATTATTAAAAGTAAATAATTATGGAAAGTAAATAAAATTATAATTAATTAATTACTGAAGGTAAATAATTATTTATAGCAATTAATTATTGAAAGTAAATAATTACTAAAAGCAAAATTTAAAAGTAATTAATTATTGAAAGTAAATACTTATTGAAAGTAAATAATTATTAAAAGCAATTAATTTCCAAAAGTAAAAAATTTCTAATATTAAATAATTCTCAAAGTCAAAAAAATTTCCATTTAATTAAAAAAAATCGATTTCACATAGAAATTTAAAAAAAAACAATAAATAAAACAATTTTCCACATGAAAAAAATAAAATTAGTTTAGAAATTTATTTATTATTTTCTACTGTAACGAAATCGTTTTAAGACAAAAGGAGAAGGGTTGAGGGAAAGGGGAGGGGGGGGACAATCATAGGGAGAGGCGGAAAAAAAAGGGGGAATAAGAGGTAAGAAAATTTTCCCCGATGAATCACTGGACAATGTTGCAAAATTTAATCCCCAATTTGTTGCTTTTTCGAAATTCAATGAAGTTGAGTAAAAATGAAACACAAATGCAAGAGAGACATATGCAAAAGAAGTACATGTGACACGAGGACAAGAACGCAATGACCTTACGCAAGTGTCTTTGGGACGGCCACGCTATCGGGCCAGATGGACGCAAAAAAAAAGAGAAAAAAAATTCCCCGAAAAAAAGATAAGAAAACGCGAAAGATGCGCGAAGATAAAGGAGAAAAAGGGGAGAAAATAAAGAGGCAAACAACGAAATAATAAAACTAGAGCAGCAAACACAAAGCGCGAGGAGAGCACTGTCTCATATTTCATCTGTCAAAAAAAAAAACCAAGTATACTATACATGTATACACGTATATAATTCCCTAATCGCGTCACTAATTTCGTTTCATTAAAACGAAACGAAGATTATTAATCAAAATGAGTCTTTTTTCTTTCCAAGCGTGGCTTCTTCTTCCTTTAGAGGAAAAAAAAAAGAAAACTTTAAACACTTTCGTGATATTATCGATTGTCGCGTCATTCGAAAATTACAACCGAGCCACGAGTTTTTTTTCCCCCTTTTTTGCCTAATCAAGAAAGACAAATATCGAAAATTTTTTATAACTTTCGAAAAAAGGGTAAATAACTCTCCAAGTAAAAAAACGAATCACAAAAAATCGAATTTAAAATCTTTTGACTTTCCTGTTCCGCTTATAAAAAGACTGAAAATTCCATCGAAAAAAATAGAGAAAACTAGTAAAAAAACCGATTCCGACTGTCACCTTCTCGACCTACTCCCCGAGTTATAAATTTTTTTTTTGTTTCCTCTTTTTTATTTCAGAGAAAAATATATATGTACCACCACACACTATCGTCAACACTTTATTTTTAATGATGATAAACAGGGGAAATTCGTTACACTAACACAATTTTTAGTGAGAATATTGATAATTAATTAAAATGACGTTACTTACGTTTCAGTAAAAAAGATTGTTTTCACAAGAAACGATAAAACATAAAACTCAGCACTCCCGTAAAGTACCGCACGTTAAAATGGCGGACGTGGAAAGGATTCATGCTGTGTGCCACGTATAGGGCACGAGCTTGCTTTGATTGGCTGGGTGGTGTCACGTGACGTGCCAAGCCATTGGGCGCAAGGTTGGGAACATTCGGGCGCGAGCCGTAAAGGTCTATTCACAAGGTGATTTGTCCGTTGCATTAGGCTTCGTTCAGAATAAGGTTCAGAAAAACACCCTTTTTGTTTTTATTCTTCTATTTTGTTATTCTCTTCACAATAATTCAATCACTTCCACTAATATTAGAGATATTAAAGATAACCGATTGACAAAATTTACGTTACGTAGTTTTGTGAACGAGTATATATCATAAAGGCGCGTTCACATTCACTTGCAAGTTTGCAACTTGCATTAGTTGCTACGTTCAGAGCGTAGTTCAATAAAAACTGTGTATGAACCTTTAGGTTTTATTCACTTCATAGTTCATGCCGGAATTGCCCGAATCCCGATTGCCGACATTTGACAGACACTGTTGACCCTGTTGACTATATTCTTCGTGCGATAATAAATTCATAATTATCGGAAAAATATTTCAATATTTACGCCCTAAACGAGGTGAGTTTCTTCTAAATATTAACACTAATCTTATAAGGAAAACAATTCTTAATTATTCACTAACAGTAAAAATGAAAACAAATTGAAATAAGTCCGATTTCTTTTTGTTTTTAATTCTCGTTCTAACCTCAAAAAATTTTTTTTCCGCCAACAACGCCCAAACGGGGCAAAAAATTATTTTACGACAAAATTTAAATGTTTTTCACCCTTTTGAATTGCTTTTCACGTATAAATTTTAATCCGAATTTATTGAAAGTTGATAAATTGGATTATTCCCAATTTGCCTTAAATTCGTCTTTTGAGAATTCTTCGAATTATTCGGGGAAAAAAAATGTATCGTCAGGTGATTTATATTAAACATGATTCATTCGTATGCAATTTTTTATTTTTTCAATATTGAATCATTTCCTTCTATTTAAGTATAATTATCAAATCAATTATTTAATGTCGTGTTTCGTAAAAAAAAAAAAATTGTCTCTTATCAACATTTTTGAAGAATTCGTATTTTTTTCACCGGTGATAAATTTTATTTATTATCTAATTTTCACCGCTTTTTGTAATTAATTGCATAACATCAAAGATTTTAATTAACAATTAAAATTTTAATTTTTTATCTTAATTTTAAATTAAATAGAAATTTATTTATTCAATGTAATTATTTATTTTTGCGATAATTTGCATAATTTATTATTATTTAAAAAAAAAAAAAACTTGAAATTTTTTAATTTTAACAGTTTGGAAATCCGCAGAAAAAGCAAAAATGGTTAATCCAGCAGAATTCGTGAAGAAGGCAATTGAAGAAAATGAAGTGATGATTTTTTCAAAAAATGGCTGTCCATATTGCAAGAAAGCAAAAACGGTAAATTTTTTTTTCAAAAAAAATTATAATTTATATTATTTTATGACAATTTTTATATTTTTTGATAATCAATTTTTTATTTATTACGCAAAATTTAATAAAATAAATTATTATTAAAATAATTAATTTCCTTGAAAATTTCAATTATTTTTCAAAATCTTATAAAAATTCTCCGAGAAAATTCAATTATTTGAAAGAAAAAAAATAATTCAATTTTTCACAGGAGTTCAATTATTTAAAAAAAACTTTTTTTTTTTATTAAATTTTATTAAATTCAATTATTTTCATAAATAATGAATTTTTCAATGAAATTCAATTATTTTAAATACAAAAATTTAATTCCAGGGAAAATTAAATTATTTTTCATAATTCTTCGATAGTAAATTTTTCACAGGAATACAATTATTTTAAATACAATTTTATAATAAAATTCTTCTCAAAAATTCAATTATTTTTTTAAATTGTGCAAAAATTCAATTATTTGTAGAAATAATAAATTTTTTCGCAGGGATTCAATTATTTAAAAAACTTTTAATAAAATCCAATTTAAGAATTAATTTATTTTCAAAAATAATGAATTTTTCGTTGAAATTCAATTATTTTAAATACAATTTTAATAAAATTCTTTTCAAAAATTCAATTATTTTTTTTTATTTTGCAAACATTTAATTATTTGTAGAAGTAATGAATTTTTTCGCAAGGATTCAATTATTTAAAAAATTTTTTAATTTTATTTTAATTCATTCAATTTTATCAACATTTTTTTTGATAATTGAATTCTTTCGAGAAAATGTAATTAAAATTGTATTTTATTAGAATTTTTGTAAATAATTAAATTTTTTTTTAAGAATTATATTAAATTTCTTAAAAATAATGTAATTTTATAAAGTAATTTTAATTAAAAGTTTTGAAAATAATTGAAATTTACAAAGAATTTTATTAAAAACCTTTAAAGAGCAATTGAATTATTTAGAAAAATTTTATTACAATTTTTAAAAATAATTGAACCTGTTAGAAAAATTTTATTAAAATTATCCAATATAATTAAATTTTTTCCTATAAAAATTTTATTAAAATTTTATTAAAAATAATTGAATTTCTCAGAAGAATTTTATTATTTACAAAAATAATTGAATTCTTGCGCCAAGAATTTTACAATATTTATAAAAATAATTAAATTGTTTCGAAAAAATTTTTATCAGAATTTTTGAGAAATTAATTGAATTTAAACAATATTTTTAAAAATAATTGTATTTTTTCAAGAAATTCTATTAAAATTGTTCATTGAAAATAATTGAATTTCTCCGAAACATTTTATTATTTACAGAAATAATTGAATTTCTTTTGTTAAATTTTATTAATTATATGAAAATATTTCAATTCTTGCGAAGAATTTTCTTATTTATGAAAATAATTAAATTATTCTTGAAGATTTTACGCAATTCGTAAAAATAATTGAATTGTTTCCAAGGATTTTATTTGAATTTTTGAAAATACCTGAATTTTTTTAAGGAATTTTATTAAAAAATTTTGAAAATAATAATTTTTTGAAACAATTTCATCAAAATTCTTGAAAATAATCGAATTTATATTAATATTTAAAAAAATATATTTTGATAAAAATTAAAAAAGAGAAATATAATAATAGAAACGGAAAAGATTATTTATTAAAAATAATTAAAAGAAAAAAAAACAAAAATTGAATTTTTTTTAATAAAACTAAATAAAATTCAAAATTTCTTGTTTTTAATTTTTCAGATCTTCGAGAAATTGAATAAAAAATTCAAAGCCGTGGAAATTGACGAAATGGACGAGTGCGATGAGATTCAAGATGTTTTAGGATCATTAACACCGGCGCGAACTGTTCCAAGAGTTTTTGTTAATGGAAAATTTATCGGCGGCGGCAGCGACGTCGAAAGTAAATACAAAAGTGGAGAACTTCAAAAAATCTTAGGTTGTTAAACAACAATTGTTAATTTATTCATATTTTCTTTTTCTTAAATTCACTCATTCCTTTAAAAACAAGAAAAAAAAAGAATTGTATTTTAAACATTGTTTAAAACATGTTTTGCAACAATTATATAATTTAAAATATCTAAATAAAAATTGTATACGAAAATAAATAAAAATTTACTTAAAGAATTAAAATTTTCAGTAGAATTTTTTTTTAAAACAATATTTTCAATTTTTGAATATTTCTAAATTGTTTTCGATTTAATTTTAGAAAAAATGTGTTCAAATTAAAAAAATCTATTCAATTTAGAAAAAAAAATTTAATTTAAAAAAAAATATTCAAATTTATACATTAAAAATTAAAATTTATAATTAAAATGTAAAAAAGAGTTTTTTAATTTAATTATATTGAAAAATAGTTTTAATTTAATTTAAAAAAATTTTTCAATTTATAATTTTTGTAAACCTTTTAAATTTAATTTAAGGGCAATTGAACCTTGATGACGTTACAGTTTGTGCAAAGCATGTGTGACATCATCAAGGTTCAAATGCCCTTAAAAAAACTTTTTTCAATTTAAAAAATTTTAAATAAATAAATTTAATTGTTAAATTTTATTTAGACTATTAAATTTTTTCTATTTAATTTTGAAAAGAATGTTTCTATTTTTACAATTAAAAAAAAATATTCCCGATTTAATTTCAAAAAACTATTTTTCGTTTTATTTTTAAAAGAATTGTTTTCAGAGTTTTAATTACAATATTAAATTTTTTCCATTCAATTTTGAAACAAAAATTTCAATTTTTACAATTAAAAAAAAATATTTTCAATAATTTAATTTAAAAAAACTATTTTTTATTTAATTTGTAAAAGAATTGCTTTTAATTTAATTAGAATATTAATCAATTTTTTCAATTCAATTTTAAAGAAATATTTTCAATTCAATTTTAGAGAAATATTTTCAATTTGTAATGAAAAAAAAAAAATATTTTCAATTCGACTTACAAAAAAAACTATTTTAATTTAAATTAAAAAAAATATTTTCAATGTAAGTAAAAAAAATTTTTCACCTTTAATTTAAAAAAAACTAGGTATTTTTAATTTAATTTGAAAAACCACTATTTTCAATTTAATTTGAAAAAAAAAATAATTTCAATTTTAATTTAAAAAAAAAATGTTTTTAATTTAATTTGAAAAAACACTTTTTTTAATTTATTGATAATATTTATAAATAATTTCACTTTGCAATTTTCCCTTACGATTTTAGCTAAAATTTTTAAATAAAAATTTTAGTAAAAACATAAAAAAAAGTTGTTAAAAATAAAAATTTTTTAATCCTATTTAAAATTTTTTTTTTTGAAAAATTGTATTTAAAAATTATTTTTGTCTCTAAAATAAATTTTTCATAAACTAGAATTATTAATTAATTAAAAATGAATAATAAATAAGTTTTTAAATTTTTGAATTTCAAATTTTCCCGCGGAAACACGTGACGTCTAGTAACGTCCGCATTGTAAAATCCGCAAAATAATTACGTCAAAAATACTCCTTCTCTATAAACGAAAATCTATTTCTCGCGTTATTGGAAATAATAACTAATAATTCATAACATAAAAATGTATTTTTATACCTTAAAACTAAGAAAATCGAGAGATAAATCTTACCTGTAGTACAGTGTCGCCAACGGAAGTGACAAAAGTTCCTTTGCTTTCCTTTGAACCCCTTCTACCGATTCATTTGTGTGCTTTACTCGCTTTACTAAATAAATAAATGTAATATAAATATAAAAAACTTCTATATAAATAATTATGGTAAAGAACAATTTATTATGCACCGATTTGAACAAATAAATAGAAGGAAAAGTCGAAACTGTAAATTTTCTTCCCTGGGGAATTTTTTTCCGAAATTTTTCTCCCCAACAGTTGGCAGCAGTGCTGGCACTAACGAAAGACGCTGTTCCGGCTGTATTTCACGCCGCCATTTTTTCCTCGTGCAGCGTGTCAAGTCGCTTCGTGTCGTGTGCGGTTTAATTTTACAGTAATACTGACTTGGTAAGTGTAATTTCACTAAAAACTCAATTATTTTCCGAAAATATGTATGAAAATTATATTTCCCCTCCTTCAGCATGTCGTAATTACGTAAATATGTTGTTTCGCGTACAAATCGAAAAATTGTCTAAACACACGCCATATATCATTTTTGTGTTATCATTATTAATTTTTAATTTGCATCTCTTTGCATTTTTCCTGTTTTTCGTAAAAACGAAAGAAAATAGTTAATTCAGTGCTTGTAAAGAAAAACAAAGAGAATAAGCAGAGTAATTTTTTTTGCTTTATATGGTAAATTTTAGTGTTTCCTTTATGCAATTATATCTTATATACACCGCTTCCGCTTGTTTCGGATCGATAAACGAGAGACAAGGTTCTCAAAGTGAATTTTTGTTTGGATAAATTAGAAAAAAGGAGGTAATTTGAGAGGGTTTAGGGGTAGAAAATTATAGTTTTGTGAAAGTGTCGGCTTTCACTTGTGCGAATCGTTTATCAATTTTTTTAGCCATGTTGTCCTGTTGGCGATAACAAGTTTTCGATAAATTTTTTTTTCTATCATGTTGGCAAAAAAAAAATTGCAGTGGGGACATGTCAGTAGCGTGAGAAGAGATTTTTTTACCCCGGTCGATAGAATTACTTTTTTTGACGAAAATTTACAATTTTTTTTTTATTTCGCATTTCAATTTTTAGGTTATGTTTCGTTTGCCTTTATTGATTGTTTAGAGAAAAGAAGAAGAATTCATGGCAAAGCTTTTCGCATTCTTCTTCTTCTTCTTCCAATAATCGAAAAAATATATTTTTTTACTATATAAATAGATGTTTTAATTTTAATATATGTTTTTTATTAGAAATTTTAGTTTTTTAATTTTCTTTATTGAAATATCGTTTAGTAAATATTTTTCTTCTTTTAACATTTAATTTTATTAATGTTATTAATTGAAATTAACAAAAATTACCATTTAATAATAAATATTTTCTATTTTGTAATAAAAAAGTCTAAATAAGTCTTGCAAAATAATTACAAAAATACAATTTCAATGAAAAGGGAATAATAAAAATAATTTAATACATTTTTTTGTTAATTAAAATTGATATAAATTGAATTTAAAATAATAATAAAGATAATTTAATTTAATAAAAATTTAAGTACATACAACTTTCGATAAATTTAATTTTCTATTATATTTTTTTTTTTTATTTACTTTATTGAAATATTTACTACATGTTAAAAGAAGAAAAATAAATTATTAATTATAAATGTTATAAATTAATAAAAAAAAAATTAAAATGTTTGATAAAATCGGCAAAATTTGACAGTTTGGACCCCCCCCCTGTTAATATTTAATACATACATCACTGGAGTGGTTAAAAAGCGCCGACGCGTCATATCCCCTCATTTTTAGAACGGATGAACTTGATTAAATTTGTATGTTCAATATTCTCTCTCTCGTTTGTATTTTAATTCGTCGTGTATATTAAATGAAAGTCGGAAATATTACAGTGTTAGTGTAACTTTATAATACATAGAGAAGCAAGGAAAAATAGGCAAAAAGAAGGAAAAAAAATATTAAATTGCAAAGTGAACGTAAAGAAGAAGGTTTGACAAAGTGGAAAATAAAAAAAAATAAGCAGACGAAGAAGAAGTGTGTTAGTAATATTCGTCCTTGAACGCGAAACCGCCATTACGACATCCTTGAATATTCTCATAATCAGCGGCGCGCGCCTCGTGTTTCATGTTGTTTTTTATCCTAAAACTCCCCCCTCACCCCCGCTATTGTTAATAATTTCGCCGGTTCTTCAATATCTCTTGGCGACATATTTTTCTCTTTTTTTGTTGGAAAAAAAATACGCAGTAGTTACAGTGACGTCTATTCTTCTCTGGTTTTGTCATTTTCGTTACTTTGACTCCGAAAAAAAGTATTTTCACATTTTTATTTATTTATTACATGTAAAAATATTGTATTTATAATAATAATAATAATAATAATAATAATAATAATAATTTAATTATTATAAAAAAATTAATTACGTAACATTAAATTAATAAAAATTAGTATATTTTTCAAAATTACAATTTCGTAAGTCCGATTATCATGTAAATAAATAAAATTAGTTACTTTATTAATAAATAAATAAAATTAGTTTTTTTATTAATGATAATAATAATTATTATTATTTATTAGTAAATAATTGAGTAATAAAATAATTTTCTTAACATATGAAGTAAATAAAGTTTAAATTATTAATAAACAAATTAATTTTATTTACTAGTAAATAATTAAGTGGTAAAATAATATTTGTTAACATATTAAGTAAATAAATTAAATTATTATAGTAAACAAATTAATTTATTCCATTTATTAATAATTTATTTATTTGTAAACAAGTAATAAAGTAATTTTGTCAACATATTAAGTAAAATAAATTAAATTATCAATAAACAAATTAAATTAATCAATTTAATTTATTACTAAACAAATTAATTTTATTGATTTGCATAATAAATGAGGCTTTTAAAAAATTGAAAATATATTAATTTTTTTTAATTTAGTTTTACTTAATTATATCAGTATAACAATATAACCAAACCCCAAAAATGACATGTGCTTACAACAAAATGTGATATCATCTAGCCAGACAATTATTTTTAATTTTTAATTTTAATTTTTAATTTAGCAATGTTATATAATATTCGTATTTATTTTGGCAATATGACGATGGACTAACGTCCTATGACTGGCGATATGGAGATTATAATTTTATGACTGATAAGATTATTTGAAGAGGGTTGAAAATCAGCCGAAACGTTATGACATGCAATTAAATGTGCCAATAAATGACCAAAGATAAAGAAAAACATAAGTAACATTCTTATCATTAATTTATACATTCTGGTTGAAAGTAATTTAAACATCTAACGAAACTAATTATTCTTAATTAATTTATTCATAAATTATTTAAATAAATTAAATTAGGATTCGTTCGCAAATTACTTAAGACTTTAAGGAGATGGGGGGGGGGGGGGTTAAAAAAAAGTGTCACGTAATTTATAAAGGGCCCCTTTTTTAATAAATAAATTAATTTTATTAATACTTTAATAAAATAAAAAATATTTTAGTAAAACTTCATTCATTTTTATTAATTAATTTAATATTATTTACTCCTTAAAATTTTGAAAATAACTTTTGTTTATTTAACGAAATTAAAAAATTTCTTTTTAACTTATGCATTTTTAAAAAAATTGTTTTATTATTATTATTATTATTATTTTACTATTATTACTATTAATATTTTTAATATCTAAATATTACTATTTATTCGAAACATTTTTTTTTAATCTTGTTAGTAATTTTTCTTGTTTTTTTTTATGCTTTTTAGTAAAAATTTTAATTTTCTTTTGAAAAATAGAGGAAAATTTTCTTTGTTTATAAAAAAACAGAAATTTTTATTATTTTTTTTTTTAAAGAGGAAGAAAATTTATTTATTTATTTAAAAATGCAGAATATAAAAAAATACATAAATCTTTATTTGTTTTTAAAAGATGGAAGAAATTTGTTTATTTAAAAATAGAAAATATAAAAAAAAATACAGAAATTATTGAAATAAAATGTATTGTTTTAATTTTTTCAAGGTTCTAGAGCGAGCCAAAATGCCGGGTTTTAGCAGTGTGGGTACATTTAAAATTTTTATCGGTAATTTGGCCGATAAAACGACCAATGCCGATATTAAGCCTCTATTCGAGAAGTACGGCAAAGTCGTCGAGTGTGACGTTGTGAAAAATTATGGATTTGTGGTAAGTTTCATTGGAGGAAAAAAAAACAGCTTTATTCGATTATTATTTTCATGTTTTATTTTTCTCTCTATTTTTTTGTTCACTTATTCGATAAGCAATACTAAAAATATTTTTTAAACCGTGTTTTAAATTAATTTTCAAATATTTATTAAAATTTATAGTAGATTTTTTTAAAAATATTTAAATTCAAATTTCAAATATTTTAAAGTTATTAAAATATATTTTTAGTTTAAAAAAAAAATGTTCAATGATTTAAGGAATTTTTTAAAATTTTTAAACTACTTTTAAAAATAATTAAAATTGTTTTTAAAATGTTGAAAATTTGTAAATATTTCGAACAGTTTTTAAAATATTTTAAACAGTTTTAAAAATATTTTTAAAAAAATTGAATATTTAAAAGCAATTTTTAAAAAGATTTAATATTAAAAAGCAGTTTTTAAAATATTTTTTAAAAAAATTTAAATATTTAAAAGCAGTTTTAAAAAAAAAAAATTTTAAACAGTTTTTAAAATAATGTTATCCTTGTAATGTAAAAATTAACTCTAACCATTAAAATTGTAAATAAGTTTTCTTTATCTACATCAATTAACTTATTTTGTTAAAGAAACCAACTTCGTGAAGATAATAAATTGCAAAAAACAAAAACAAATATGAATTTGATAAATAATTCAAATTTATTTCATTTAAAAATAAAAATAAAATGAAAAACAATAAATTATTCAAACATTTACTCGATTTTTAAATTATTTGGAATATTTAGTAAGAATAATTTAGAAAAAAGGAAAAAAAATTGCAATGAAAAATGGAGTTTATGCAAATGACTGTTGACTTTCATTTTACTTCATTTTTTTCCTTTTTATCATTGACTCTAATGTTTAATCGATTTCTTACTTAAAAATAGCAGAGAGAAAAAAAAATTTTCTCAACTAGAAGTAACACAACTGGAAATTTGTTTTCAATATTTCTAAACATTTGATTTAAAGAAATTTTTAATTTTTAACAATAAGTAATAAATTTTTAAATAAATATTTAATTAATAATTAAAAATAATGGATTTGTAAAAGAGTTTTAGTTAAAAATACTTTTAAAAAATTGGATTTTTAAGAAAAGTTAGAAAAGTAATAAAATTCTTCGCAGAAATTCAATTATGTTTGAAATTTTTTTTAAAAATTCTCAAAATTTCAATTATCTTTATAAATAATAAACTTCTTCTCAGAAATTCAATTATTTGCAAAAAATTTTAATAAAATTCTTGGCAAAATTTCAATTATTTTAATAAAATCCTACGAAAGAATTCAATTATTTAATATAAATTTTAATAAAATTCTTCGCAAATATTTAATTATTTTCATCAATATTAAAAATTTCACATTTAATCGCAATACAATTATTTTCATGAATAATAAAAATCGTCTCAGAATTTCAATTATTTTGAATGCAAGTTTAATCGAATTCCTTAAGTAAGAAATTTATTAAAATTCGTTGAAAAAATTAAATAATTTTAAAAATTTGTTGATAAAATTCTTTATTAGAATTCAATTTTAAGAAACATTTAATTATTCAATAAATTTTTTTTTGTATTCAAATAATTGAATTCAAAAATTAAAAAAAAATTTCAATTATCTTTATAAGTAATGAAATTCTTCACTAAAATTCAATTATTTTCAAAAATGATTTTTAAAATCCTCGTCAATATTTCAATTGTTTAAAAAAAAATAATACAATTTTTCTTCGAAATTCAATTATTTTCAAAAATTTCCCAAAGAAATTTAATTATTTGAAAAAAAAAAATTTTTTAATTTTACGCAAACATTCAATTATTTTCATAAATAAATTTTTTTTATGAATTTAATTATTTTCCTAAATAATAACGCTCATCGCAATATTTCAATTATTTTTAATACAATTTTAATAAAATTTCTTCAAAGAATTCAATTATTTATAAAAAATTTTATAAATTCTTCAAAGGAATTGAATTATTCTAAAAAAAATTCTAATAAAATTCTTTATTCAAATTCAGTTATTTTTTTAAAGAATTTTATTATTTCTTAAAGAATTTAATTTTTATCAATTTTTGGTAGAAAATCTTTAAATTTATACGAAAAAATTTAATTATTTATGAAAATAATTGAATTTTTGTAAAGAATTTAATTTAAATGTTTGAAAATAATTGAATTCTTGTCAAGAATTTTATTATTTTTGATAATAATTATTGAATTTGAATAAAGAATTTTATTATTTCTGAAAATAATTGAATTCCTACAAAGACATTTATTATCTATCAAAATAATTGAATATTTGTAAAGAATTTAATTTCAATTTTTGAAAATAATTGAATTCTGAGGAGAAATTTATTCAACTTTTTCTAAAATAATTGAATTTTTGTCAAGAATTTTATTATTTTTTGAGAATAATCGAATTCTTACAAAGAATTTTATTATTTTTGAAAATAATTGAATTTCTACAAAAAATTTATTACTATTTAGAAAAATTATTGAATATTTGTGAATAATTTAATTTAAATTTTTGAAAATAATTGAATTCTGAGGAGAAATTTTTTCAATTTTTTTTTTCAAAATAATTGAATTCTTGTCAAGAATTTTATTATTTTTTCAAATTTTAATAAAATTCTTTAAAACGATACAATTATTTTCATAAATAAATTTTTGTTTAAAGTAATTGAATTGTTTTTATTACAATTATTTTAAAGAATATTTTCCTAAAATAATTGAATTATTTTTTAAAAGTTCTAATAAAATTCTTCGAAAGAATAAAAATTAACTTGGAAATTTTGATAAAATAACTTATAATTAATTTTAGACTCGTTTTTCTTTTACGGTTTGTTTCTCTTCTTTTTTTTAGAAATTTGAAATTTAATTTAAATTCTCGTAGAATTTTCTAATAAAAATTGATTTAATAATGAATTTTAGTTGAAGCTTCAGATAATAATTGAATATTAAAAGATTTGTAATCATGAATTTTTAGAAATAATTGAATTTTGGAATTTCGGAAAAGTTTCGAATTAAAATCTTTCAAAATTTGAATTTTTCATACTTTTAACTAACAATTCGGTAGAATTAATTTTTTTTTCTTTTTTAAAAAAATTAATTGAATTTATTTTGAAACTATATTTGAATTTTTATTTTCTAATATATATTTTGAAGAATTTCCGAATAATTGAAATTTCAAGTAAAATTGAATTATAAATAAATGTATTTATGAAAATTGTCAAAAAGAACTTTTTCAAAAATTATTAAAAATAATTTATTTAAAGAAGAATGTTGGTTAAAAAATCTGGAAAATAATAATAGAATTGAAATGATTTAAATAATTTTTAAAAAGTTATACTAACAATATTCTTATAATATAAAATAATTATTTTATCACTGGGCCATCTTTAATTATTATAAAACATGAAGAAATCGATATCTTCTTGTTTTATAATAAATAATTCCTAGAAGTTGTTGAATGTAGAAATTAATCTCTTTCAAAAAAATCGCTTCTCTAGTTTTAATTAATAATTTTATTAAACAAATAAAAAAAATTTGTTTTCTTTAAACAGCACATGGAAAATGAGGAGAGCGGAAGAAACGCAATTCAGCATGTGAACGGCTATATGATGCATGGACAGCCGATAAAATGCGAGGCGGCAAAGAGTCGTAAGGGACCGAATACACCGACGACAAAAATATTCGTTGGCAATTTAACGGACAACACTAAAGCGCCGCAGGTGCGGGAATTGTTCGCAAAATTCGGAACAGTCGTTGAGTGCGACATTGTACGAAATTATGGATTCGTGCATCTCGAGGCAACTGGCGACGTTAATGACGCGATAAAAGAGCTGAACGGACATATTGTCGACGGGCAACCGATGAAGGTGCAAATATCGACGAGCCGCGTGAGACAGAGGCCGGGAATGGGCGATCCTGAGCAATGTTATCGTTGCGGACGCGGTGGTCATTGGTCGAAGGAATGTCCCAAGGGTGGAATGGGCGGCGGACCCGATAGAAATGGATTCCGCGATCGTATGTTTGGACGTGATCCCTATCCACCGCCACCACCCCCGCCTTTCCTCAGGGACAGGCTCATGGGTGGCGGACGCTTTGGTGTAAGTAGAAAAAAGCAAATTTCCTAAAACGCCTAAAATCATCAATTTTCCCCCTTATTTTCAAGAAAAAAACTAACTTCACAATTCCAGGCCTCGGATATTATGATTTTTTCGACTATTTTCAAATAATGCGACTTTTTCGACTTTTCTTCCAAATTTTGCCACAAAATACCATATTTTTAGTATAAAATGCTGCAACTTTTTTCGATTTCTACGCGCAGTATAAAAAATAGCTGCAGTTAATCTTTCGAAAATTATTTTTGAAATATACAATTAAAAAGATTTTGAATAATTGAAATTTAGTAAAATTAATTGAAAATAAATCCTTTTTTTCAAGTATTTTATTTTAATTTTTAAAAATTAACTATTATACAATTTTTATTGAAAATTTTGCAAATAATTGAATTTTTAAAAATTTTAATGAATAATATTCAAGTGTAAATTGGATAAAAAATAAAAATATTAAAATAGTTTTGAAAAAAGTAATTTTCTGACAAAGTAATTTAAATTTTTTTAAATATTACTATTTTAGAATTTTTGAGAAATTATTTACAATTAAAATTCATCAAAAATTTGAGTATTTTTTAAATATTTTCTAAAAACTCATTTATTTGCTTAATAAATTTTTTTTGCAAAATTTAATTATTTTAGGGAATTTTATTAAAATTTGTTGCAAAATTCAATTATTATCACGAATTTTAATAAAATTTATGTCTAAATTCCATTATTTTAGGAATTTTAAAAAAATTTATTGCAAAATTCAATTGGTTTCAGGAATTTTAATAAAATTTTTGTCTAAATTCAATTCTCAGGATTTTTATTCAATTTATTGAAAAATTCAATTATTTTCATGAATTTTAATAAAACTCTTTGCAAAATTCAATTATTTTCAGAAATTTTAATAAAATGTTTGTCTAAATTTAATTTTCAGTAATTTTATTAAAATTTGTTGTAAAATTCAATTATTTTCATAAATTTTAATAAAAAATTTTGTCTAAATTCAATTCTCAGGATTTTTTATTAAATTTATTGAAAAATTCAATTATTTTCATGAATTTTAATAAAACTCTTTGCAAAATTCAATTTTTTTCTGGAATTTTATTAAAATTCTAATTCATCTATAATTTTAATAAAACTCTTTGCAAAATTCAATTATTTTTAGAAATTTTAATAAAATGTTTGTCTAAATTTAATTTTCAGTAATTTTATTAAAATTTGTTGTAAAATTCAATTATTTTCATAAATTTTAATAAAAAATTTTGTCTAAATCCAATTTTTTAAAAAATTTATTGCAAAATTCAATTATTTTGAGGAATTTTAATACAAATTTTTGTCTAAATTCAATTTACAGGATTTTTTGTTAAATTTATTGAAAAATTCAATTGTTTTCATGAATTTTAATAAAACTCTTTGTAAAATTCAATTTTTTTCTGGAATTTTATTAAAATTCTAATTCATCTATAATTTTAATAAAACTCTTTGCAAAATTCAATTATTATCACGAATTTTAATAAAATTTATGTCTAAATTCCTTTTTTTTAGGAATTTTTAAAAAATTTATTGCAAAATTCAATTGGTTTCAGGAATTTTAATAAAAATTTTTGTCTAAATTCAATTCTCAGGATTTTTATTAAATTTATTGAAAAATTCAATTATTTTCATGAATTTTAATAAAACTCTTTGCAAAATTCAATTTTTTTCTGGAATTTTATTAAATTCTAATTCATCTATAATTTTAATAAAACTCTTTGCAAAATTCAATTATTTTCAGAAATTTTAATGAAATTTTTGTCTAAATTCAATTTTCAGGAATTTAATTAAGATTTATGGCAAATTTAAATTATTTTTGAAAGATTTTACTAAATTTAAATTATTTTTTAAAAAGATATTACCAAATTTCAATTTTTTAAAAAAAAATTTTAATTGCTATGTAATTGTAAAACTATTGTGTCTTTCAAAAATTATTTAGAAATATTTTTAAAAAGTTAATTTTACGAATTTATTTATTAAAATTTTTTGAATATATATTCTACCTTAATATCTTTAAAAAGAAAAATGATCGGTTTCAATAATTATAAAAAATTGAATTTTTGTATTTAAATAATTGAATTCTTGAAGAACTTTCGTAAAAATATTGAAAAGTAATATAGGTAGATAATTTATTTAGAAATGAAGTTTAGTAAAAAATTGTAGAAAATAATTGAATTCTTCAGGGTGTCTAGCGAACCGGGAATCCGGGAAAAACCGGGAAAACCCCGGGAATTTTTTTTTCCCGGGAAAAACCGGGAAACCCCCGGGAATTTTCTTTTAAATCCGGGAATTTTTTTATGAAGTACTTTATTATGTTGTTGGAAAAAATAGTTACATTTTTTCAACGCTTAACTTAATTTTTTTTCAATTTCGAATTGTATATTGATTCTCTTCGTATATTAGACAATGTTTTATTATTGTCCAATTAAGACCTAACTTATATGGGAAATGATTTTCGATGTGACAATCCAGTGGGCAAAAAACCATCATTGTTTTAAAAACGTTCCAAAAATGTTTTTAGAACGTTTCATGTCTGCCAAATAATGTTCCAAAAACGTTCCATTGCTTTTAAAACGTTTTAGAAACATATAACGTTATTGGGACGTTATTTGGCAGACATGAAACGTTCTAAAAACATTTTTGGAACGTTTTTAAAACAATGATGGTTTTTTGCCCACTGGGAAGCTTGTGCCAAATTTTTACAGTGATGCGACACCTGTTTTTGATTTTAAACATGAAATTACCGTCAAGTAAATCACAATACAATTCTTATTATAAGTTTTACAAATATTACGATTAAATTTACTGTAAAATTTTAGTTTTCAATTATCCGGGAAAATTATTTACATACCGGGAAAAAACCGGGAAAACCCCGGGAATTTTATATTTCTAAATTACTAGACACCCTGTTCTTGTAAGGGTTATAGTTTTAATTTTTAGAAATTATTAAATTTCAGAATTTTAATTTTTTTTAAATTTTATTTCCTGGTGAAAAAAGAAATAAGAAGTATTTAAATATTTTATTTAGCAAAATTATACAAGTTTTGATTAATTAAATTTAGAAATCAGTGAAGAATGAGGGAAATAGAAAATAAAATATTTGTGACAACACTAAATTAAATAATCGACTTTTTCGACTTTTTTTCTATTTTTAATCGACTAAAGCGACTTTTTTTGTTCGCTAAAGTCGATCCGAGGCCTGCAATTCTCTTAAGTATTCTTCGTTTTAGAGTAAATTTTACTATTTTTGAAATAAATTTTTCTAATTTTTATCAAAAAAAAAAAAAGAATTGTCTTTAAAAATAATAAAAAGTTATTCTGGAAATAATTTTTAATATTAAATTTTACTATTTTTAAAGAAAATTTATGTAATTTTAAAACAAAAGTTGCGTTGTAATCAAAATTTTGGTTAAAAATGTAAAGAAAGTTACGGACTACGAAAAAAGGTAAAAAAAAAAAATATCAATAATTTACAGAAAAAGTTTAACAAAAAAAAATAATTTGATTTAAAAAGACTAAAGTTAATGGAAAAAGTAATAAAAATCCCTTTTTTTTTATCTAATATTACATGAAATTGACAATTTTAAAAAAATTTAAAATTTCACAGGATTACGACAGTTATTACGACAGACGTGGATTCGATGACACTCGTGATTTGTACGAGAGGCGATTCCCAAGTATGACGGGAATGTCGGGCCGCGACATGGGAAGTTCAATGCGCGATTCCTACTTGCCACCAGTTGCCCCAAGACGAGACCCAATTCCACCAATGCCACCTCTAGGTATGGGCTCAATGCGCGACAGTGGATTTTCACGCAGCAATGATTATGGAATGTTCAGCAGGCGATCGCCACCTCCAAGTGGCAATAATGGACGTTTCAGGTATAATTTTTCATAAAAACAAGGAAAATAGTTTTTAGAGTCAAAATATCGTTTTAAAAGCTGAAATATATATATTTTTTTTACTTTAAAAATAGTCTCTAGGTTCGAAAAATAGTTTATAGGACAGAAAAGTATTTTTTTTGACTTTGAAAATAGTTTTTCGGTTCCAAAAATAGTTTTTGGAGTCAAAAAGTAGTTTTTAATCTCCGACAATTATTTTTAGTGCCGAAAAGTAGTTTTTGACTCTAAAAATAGTTTTTAGAGCCAAAAAATCGTTTTTAAATCTGAAAAATATTTTTTGACTCTGAAAATTGTTTTTTGATTCAAAAAATAGTTTTTATAGTCAAAAAATGGTTTTTAGAACGGAAAAGTAGTTCTTTTTATTCTAAAAATAGTTTTTAGAGTTAAAATATCGTTTTTAAAGCTGAAATATATTTTTTCGATTCCAAAAATAGTTTTTAGAGCCGAAAAAGCGTTTTTTTTTTATTACAAGATATAAATTATTATTTGTTAATTTAAATTATAAAATATAAATTTATTTTTTATTCTTCTTGTTTCAGTAGAGGCATGTATGAGGACTTTAGTCGTGATTCCTTTGAAGATACCCGTAGGTAAGTAAAAGTGTCATTGTTTTTTCAGAAGAAAAGAAATTTCCAGATTTGTTTTCTTCTTGTTGGAAATTTTGCTGTTGTTTTTTTTTTTAAATTTTTTTTGTTTCTTTTCTCTGAAATAACAATCAGGTATTTTATTTTTGTTTTCTCTTCTTTTCGCTCAATTAGCGTCCTGAGAGAATAAAGTAGAAGCTTTTCATAATAATAATAAAAATAGACTTAGTAACTGTCTGTGATATTTTTGTGATAATTGAAAGCAAAGACTTATTTTTTTAAAATGCAAATTAAGATAATTTTAATACAATTAAAATATATTTAATTAAAATTAAAATATATTCAATATGAATTAAAATATTTTTAATAACAATCAAAATATTTTTAATAACAATCAAAATATTTTTAATATAAATTGAAATATTTAAGGGAAATTAAAAAATTTCCAATATAAATCAAAATATTTTCAATATAAATTTAAAATGAATTAAAAAAATTGGTCAAAATTGTAAAAATTCTAGAAATTCTAGAAGTAGTTTTCTAAACCTTTAAGAAGTAATTATTCCAATAAGTTTAAAAAAGAAAAAGCAAAATGGAAGAATATCATCAGGACAAAATGAAAAATTTATGAGAAAAGTTAAAAAAGAGAATCATTTTGACTTTTCATGGTATCTATTTGATTTCATTTTAGTTTCTAATTTTCCTCTTTTTCATATTAATTCGTTCGTTTAAAAATTTAATTTAAGAAAGTTAATTTTGTTTTTTGAAAGTTTCAAGAACTGTGCGACAATCTTAACGACTAAAAACTGACAAACTCGACAATTTTCAACAAATTTCATCTAAAATATAAGCAAAAAAAAATTTTTGTCGATTTGAATAAAAAGAAGTCGACTTGAATTTTTAAAAGTTTCGAAGGCTAATAATTGACAGACTCTACAAATTTTAATTAATTTTAACTTGAATATACGCGAGAAACTTAGTTTTTCTAGAAACAATTTATTATTTATTTAAATATTATTAATTACAAAAAGAAAAACATTTTTTTATCATTTAGACTTTTTAAATACAATTTTTTCAAATTTTTTTTTATCTTTTCTTCAAAAATTCTTTGTTTCCTTTTTTTATTTCTATTTTCTCAATTTGTCAACGTTTTTTTTTTTATCTTTTTTTACTATTTTATAAATTTTACATCATTCAAGTTTTTTGTTACTTTTTTTTACAATTTTTTCAAATTTTTTTATATTTTCACAGAACAATTATATTATAAAAATTAATATTTATTTTTTACTTCTTTTATTATTTTTATTAACAATTATAAGTAGAATAGAATTTTATTACATTTTTTTTCGTAAATATAAAAAAAATATAATGTGAATTAAATTCAATTTAAAAAATAATAATTACTATTATTAAAATTAATAGCGATTGGATACATTTTTAAAAAATAGTTTTATTTCGTTCAAAAAATTAAACTATGGAATTATTTCTTGTACGTATTTTTATATTTTTTTCTTTTTCTATTAAATATGAAAAGTCAAAATTGATTCTAATGGATGCTTAAAGAAGAGAAAGTGTTTTTTTTCTTAATCAATCAATTTTTTCAAGTCTTTTCCTGTGAGGTGTAGGCAACATTCCTTTTTCAAAGTAATCTCTATTTTTTATTTAATGGATTAAAAATTGTTCTTTTTCTAATTTTTTTTTTGTTTTGAATTCTAAAGTAGAAGTAAAATTCAGACAAGAATTTAAAAAAATCGAAAATTGGATTTTAAGATACAAAAGTAAAAAAGTAAAATAATCAGTAAGAAATTTTCTTTTTTATTTTCTTTTATTTATTTTTATTCTTTATTAAATTGATGATTAAAGTTTTTAAAATTATTAAACATATCATTAAAATTACTTTCATAATTAAAAATCATTAAAAATTCAATAAATTATTCAGAAACAGTCCAAAAAAGTTTATTAAATTATGAAAAAATAAGATTTCTCTATATTTTTTTTAGTTTTATTTGCCTAAGAGCCGTTCGGCCTTAGACGGTAAATAAGTTATAAAAAACTATTAAAAACGCTCTTTTATTTTTATTCTCCATTAAATTGAAGATTAAATTTTTTAATATATTATTTAAAAAATCATTAAAATTACTTTCATAATTGAAAATCATTAAAAATTGAATAAATTATTTTTAAAAAGTAATGAGAAGATTAATAATTTATATTTCTCTATTTTTTTTTTATTGTTTTTTTCTTTCCATAAGCCGTTCGGCCTTGGACGGTAAATTTGTTATAAAAAACTATCAAAAACGCTTCTTTATTTTTATTCGTTATTAAACTGATGATTAAATTTTTCAAAAAATAATTAAATTGTCAAAAATCATAAATCATAATTTTTTATTGTTTTTTTTACTCTTTTAGAGCTGTTCGGCCTTAGACCTTAAACTAGTTTTAAAAAAATAAAAAATAGCTTCTTTTTTAAATTAAAATAAGAAAAAAATAGAGATTCTTTTCCGGAATGTTCCCAACGCCTCGTCCATCAGACAAAACTGGAAAAAGCAAATTTTTTTTTTTTAATCAATGTCGTGAAATAAAAACTAACTCGAACGGCGTGCATCAGCAAATAAAAAAAGGAGTCAATTTTTTTTTTGAAAAAAATTTTTTAAAAGAAAAAAAAAACAATTGACTCATTGCCGTCTTGTCGTTATTTTTCTCTCTATCTCTCTCTCTCTCACTCTATCAATCTCAATCTCTCACTGTCGTCGTGTTAGAAGAACAAAACAATACAAAAAAAAAAAAAAAAAAAAACTCACGTCAAAAAAAACCTATTTTGATTACCAGACCGGGAATACGAGGGCCATCGCCGTCGCGCCGGTTCGCACCATACTAAATCGTCGTCGCGTCGGATTCGGATCGGTGTGTCGGTCTGTCCGCCGTCGTCGGTGTCTCTTGATTGTTGTTGTCAGTGTCTTGTCTGTCCGCATATGAGCAGGAAGCCTCGGGACCGAGAATTATATCTCATTGGCCGTCCGTCGTCGATCTGCACATACGCGCAATGATCTGCCGCCCGCTCGATGAGAATAACAAGTGCTGTCCACAGTGCTCTTTTAAAATAATGAAAAAAAAAAAAAAAAAAAAAAATCCATACACTGAGGAATGAAAACTTAAAAAAAAAATGAAACTAAAGGTTTGCAACAAAAAAATCACTTCTTCATCGACAAAAAATAACAACTCTCTCTCAACACTCAAGAAAATGAAAAATGAAAATGAAAAATCCCACACACACGGACCTTTTCCCCTACCCCTCTCTCCTTTGCTTACTCTATTCCCTCTTGTATAACTATTCTGGGACCCGGTTTTTTCTCACCAATTTTTGAATACATAGAATTTCAAAACAAAAAAAACAGTAATTGCGTCGCACTGAGAAGAATGGAAAGAAAGGAAGAAAAAAAAAGAAAATTTGGCGGTTATTTTCAAATGCTTGTGATGTGTGTTTGCTGATAAAAAATAGTTCGAGACTATAACGATTCATGTTAATAGGACTTAAGGTTCTAATAAAATTTTTTTGCGTAAAAAGTTCTTTTTTATTCAAACAATTGATTTGTAATTTTTGACTCCGAAAAAGGTGTTATTTAAGACAGAAAAGTAGTTTTTTGATTCTAAAAATAGTTTTTAGCGTCGAAAAGTGGTTTTTAGAAACGAAAAGTAGTTTTTCGATTTCGAAAAAGGTTTTTTTTTGACTCCGATAATTGTTTTTAGAGTCGAAAAGTAATTTTTTGACTCCGAAAATATTTTGTACAGTCGAACAATCGTTTATAGAGTCGAAAAGTAGTTTTTTGACTCCGAAAATTGTTTTTAGAGCCGAAAAGTACTTTTTCACTAAGAAAATTATTTTTAGAGTCGAAAAGTAATTTTTTCTTCTTAAAATAGTTTTTAGAGTCAAAAGTATTTTTTTCACTCCAAAGATATTGTCGAAAAATAGTTTTTCGATTACAAAAATAGAGTTTAGAGTCAAAAAATCGTTTTTAGAACCAAAAAGTAGTAATAACTCGTAAAGTACTTTTTCACTAAGAAAATTATTTTTACAGTCGAAAAGTAATTTTTTCTTCTAAAAATAGTTTTTCGATTCCAAAAATCGTTTATTTAATAAAAAAAATTACTTTTCGATTGTGAAAACAATTTTATTATAATTTATTTTGATGTAAAACAATTCTAAAAACAAATTGGTTTTTGACTCCGAAAATTGTTTTAGAGTCGAAAAGTAATTATTTGACTCCGAAAATAATTTTTAAAAAATTAATTTTTAATTCTAAAAAAATAATTTTCGGAGTAAAAAAAAGTTTAAAAAAAGTTTTTTGACTCCAAAAATTGGTTTTAGAGTCGAAAAACAGTTTTTTGACTCCGAAA